GATCATCTCAACATTCTACCAATGTGTGTTCATTTAGTACAACATATGTTATTCTGGATAGTATTACGTTGATTATAAAATTAACTTGTATGTTTATTATTTATCAGACTTAGAAATGTTGAAGCCAATATGGAATCTGCCATGGAATATAATCCGGAAAGTTTTGGTCAAGTAATTATGTTGTATATAGATTGCCGAGTGAATGGACATCCTGTGAAGGCATTTGTTGATTCAGGTTAGTCATTTCATTGAGGTTAATTCAGATTAGTTATTCTGGTTAGTTAGAGGATTAAACAGCCAGTACCACTAACTGCATTCCTTGATAGGTTTCCTCTACACTACATCAGATGATTGTTGCCACAGCAATGTAAGCACAGCTGGCTCATTATTTCTGACATTGAAACTAGCAAACTAATATCAGCTTTACCAGATGCTGTGGAGAGGTTGAATCAGCAGAACACAAGTCATGTACACAGGCTATATGAACTAGCATTCCCTGTATTAAAGATAACTGGTATATGTGTACTTGAACTAAATTTTCTAGACATACCGTATTACCCCAGGCACGCGCCCAGGGGCCTAAACATACAAAATCAGGAAAAATTGGGGGTGGGCGCTTACCCAAGGACCACCCCAAAAAATATTTTAAAAAGTTGTTTTTGTGATCGTATGATAAGGTCAAATAAAGGAATGCTTTCGTACACTTTGTACACGTACTTATTTTTTGATTTATGCGAGGTTTCAATAAACGTGAGAACTGTGGGAACACTAAAACACAGGGTCGAATTTCAAGAATAAAACTTGTTTTATGTCAGCAAATGAAGTTGTATGTATTACTCACTGAAATTGGCTACAATTATGGTAAGTATTGTAATCACTGCACGGTTACTTTCTTAATAACCGTGATCAGTGCAAGTCGAAACGGCCGGGAAAAACTACCACTTGTAATCCAAGATGGCGATGACCTCAGTAGCATAATTTTGTTCACGCACGTATTGATACATCGCATCGTAATTACTGAAGAATAGCAGACAGTGTTATGAAACAAATAAACCTTTTATTACTGAACAGATGTGAAATATTTACAAACTATTGTGAATACATAAACATATCCAAATGGCGATACATAAAAAACAGACTGAAAATAAACTCTGGTCGACCTCATTAACATGATTTATTCACGCACCCACACACACGCTAAAATTATAATTGCAACAAGTTCCCACCGTCGGCATGCCTCATTATGGTTATCATAATGGACTTGAGGTCGGCAAAATGTTTTTTCTTCAACGACAGAAAAATAATCCACATGACCGTAATGCCATAGCTGTGATGAAGGATGGAAAGAAAGTAGCAAGTATACGACGTGATGGCTCAAAAGTGCTAGCTCCCGTTCACAGTCAGCTGGCATCGGTGTCGCTGGGTGTAGATGATGAAGGGAAGTTGTGCAACCAAATTTGCCAAGTTCACAGTTTTTCGCCAATAAAAAAATAACTAAGGCTTTTTGCCAGGTTTTCAGCATTTTTGTAATGAAGAAATTATTCTCTATCAATAATCCCAAAACAGGAACATTTCCACTAATTCTTGTGTTTTTTCGACGTTTTTTGAAAAACCTGTGATTAGGCTGCAAAAGTAGAACATTCCGGAGGGGGTGAAATGGAAGAGCCAAACTTAACGCGTAAAAATAGAACGCGTATTTTGACCTCTACGTGGCCAAGCAATGGCTGGACACGGATACGTTTGCGGTCATTGCCAAAAAGCCCAGCGTCCATCGCCTGACGATGCTCTTTCGTTATGGATTCAGTCAGCGAAGTGCTACGTTTTGAAACCAAAGCTAAGTGCTTCAAACCACTCACCAAAGTATGGATTATTGCAATATTGGATTCATCGTGAATGAAGAGAAAGCGGAACGTGTGCGCCAACATGCTGTGTGGTTCATCTTACGTCGTTAAGTTCCAATGAGTTTTACGTAAAAACATAAACAAAACGGCCCTTTTCAGGCCACCACACACTCCAAAAGAGAACTACCGTACAAACACACTATTTAAATAAATCAAACGCGTTCGTTTTTGACAAATAAAACTTTATTGTGACC